ATAGGAACACTGACTTGTACATCGGCTGGCCACCGCAAGTCATTGTATAGGCCACATCGCATTCAATAAGCCACTACGATTCTGAATGGAAGTAGAATGCGTGCCGCATCCCACAAAGGGATTGATCAACGGCGAAGACTTTATCCTTTTTTATCGCCGCAATCAATCGTGGCGTGTCAGGAGGCATGGAGTGTGAGTGAATGCGCTTTCTTCTACTGGCTGTTTCGATCACCTAAGCGATCATCATTTGTAGAAAAGGCCGCCTGGGGCGAACTCACTCCACTCCTTCTGACACCACCCCTAGTGATTGTGGTCAAGCCTATTAAGTCTCGGGATAATGGGCGAAAAGGTTTACAGGAGAATTATACCTGGATGTTCGGTCTCCTGTTCACTTCTATATGTGTCACCGGACGCTGACCTTGCCTCATATTCTCTGAACTGATCAATTCATTTCCATCCAAATCTCGGAAATGTGAAAGATTAAAGTTTATGAAAAAGTAGACCATGTCATGGCGTTTGGAGAGGGCGTGTCCGGGGGTTGTTTTTAGTAGCGAGCGTGGAGGCGTAACAATAGGGAGCGGGTTCGGGTTTCGGTAGATAATGGATTAAGTACGATAGTGCGTCGAAGGTAATTCATTGCGCTGCCTGCACCTTTTTTTTGGGGCGCAGTCTATTGGCGGTTTAAACAGGTTTGCCGCTGATGCACGCGAAGCCAAGTCCATAGACACGCCCTCTCTAACCATTGTTATGGACACAACGTAAGATGAATATTGGAGACATTAAATACAACAGATATTTTTGTTTTTGATATGAGCGGCAAGGAACCTTCAATAGGAGGCTGGCCATATAGAGGGATAGCTCCAGTTGGACGATCGTAGAACTGTGAGTAGCTCGGATCATATCCTTGCTTCATACCATCCCTTTCTCTGCAAAAAATCGTTTTTTTAGAAATTACATGACTCTCCCTGCAATCAACAACAGTTAATTCTTCCAGTTAACCTAATAACTGACAGTATTCTACAAAGGGATAAAGCACATAAATATTACAAATCAGTAATTCTGTTCATACCTGAACGGTTCACCTCTGCTTTGCTGTTCAACCTGTACTGGTGGAAACCTTGGGGCATTATTTGAAAGGTGCACATTTGTCCCTGAAATGACGGCCTGATTTGCAGAATCGCGTGCTGGACTGGTTCCATTGCCGGTATGGAAGGACGGCACATCTTGGTACTGCTGGTTATTCCGATTATACTCTGGATTTTTTCGTAAAGCGACGACGAATTCTCTGAATCAGCAAAGTAAATCGATCAAGTCCTGGAGAAGAGGTGCTTCAAGCGCTAACCTTTTGCCCGACGAAGGGATCGTATCGACACGATCGGCCGAATGAGATCGCTTTAAAGAGAAGTATGGAACTGGATCGGGTTGAACAGACGCTCCCGATGGTCCCCCTTCGGCACGGAAATCAATCAACGTCTCCACCGGTGTTTTTCTTGGATTCGTTAGACTTGAAGCGGATGTCTTGGGACGCATTTCGTACGAGGAGTGCCTTCCAGTGTTCGGAGTTCCATTGCGATATACTACAGGTGGGTAGTACGGATCATCAATGGTAGTTTCGCGAGTGCTTCTCGTGGAAGGGCTGTAATTTTGTAATGAGTACCATGTCCATTGTACAGCCCTTGCACATAACATTACATAAGACAAGGATCACGCTTGCCCACTTTGAACCTGCCACTGTTTGAAGAACTAACTTATTTATTTACACCTTACTTGGGTTTCTTGCTTTTTTTCGCAGTACCGCCTTGGCCTCTATAAATATGAAATAGCTATTTCCCAAAATTGTTATCGATTTATCGTTACGAAAAAGGAGTGAAACTGCTGACAGGGCACATCATTGTCATTGGTTGGGAATTTTAGTCGAGTCTGTTCGACCCCTCCCCCCTCCTCCCCCCCCCCTTTTTTTTGGGGGGTTTGGTACGACCCTCCCCTTCCGGCTGTCTGTCCCTCCTCATGAATCGAGCCGTCGAGCGGGGGGGGGAAGGGGGGGGGGGGGGTAAATAGCACATGTGGAACAGCAGAAGCCGCGAGACAATACGACCTCCCCCCTTCCAACAATGACCAAGTACAACCCCGAGCCCCCCCCTTTTACAACGTCCGTGAAGCGAGAAAAATCAACTATCAAAATAAATTTTTCCCAGCCCAAATACGACCCCCCTCTCCTGGCGGCCAAATACGACCCCCCTGTTGGGGATTCCCCAACAACGATATGCCCTGGCTGCGGAACGTGGATCATCAAGGGAGCAGCCAACGCTGATCATGTGGTTGGAGACAATCAACAGTTATTTACTGCTTATGAGCACCCCTTGACGAGAATGTTCTTATTTTTGTTGCTCACGAAGGATAATGAAGCTGGTAGAAATCGTCTTTTTGCTACTATTCTTGACCTGCTCAGCCTCGAGGACACCGTAAGAGATTGCCCGGTGATTGGAGCCGGGGAAGGATGTCTGGCGCGCTCCCCTTCTGAAGGCCCTATACTGTGGCGGTGTTGAAGGCGGGAAGGAGGCTGACGCGCCAGCGATGTACGTCAAGTCCTGGCTGTCCCCGCCGGGCAGGTCTCGAAGGATGCCTTTGAAATGAATCTGGGAACTATTACTACCTTGGAGATGTGAACGAAAATGGCAGGCCACGAAAACAAAACTTCTTGACTGACCTGATTTTCCTCGTTGTCCCTGTAGGATCTTTTCTGTCACGGCCCTTAACAATTTCCTCATGGGTAAGCGTTTCCACTTCGTATACATGCCTTAAACAGAAAGTTATCTATTTAAACCATTCACACAACAGATCACGCATTTTTAGGTTGCCTATTTCGACTGAGCAGCACCTCAGCCGTTCGTAGAAATGTAAATTCGTTTAAGAAACGTCTGAGAAATTCGCGAAACTACTTCACCTTGTTCCGTGCGAACCAATCCGACATACACTAAAGGCAACGATAAGTCCTTAAAACGAGTAGGATTAATGCGCCTGGCAGGAAGAAATTCTGCGCCTCTGAATAGGCGCTGCGCAGCGCCTCTTTCAAGGAAGGTCTTTCAAGGAAGGTCCCTTTTAAGGTCCTATCAAGCTGCAACATGCCGCCGCGCTCGCCCACCCACAAATGGACGACCGTACCTGATGCTCGTATTACTTCATTTGCGAAGTAAAATATGAAGCGAAGGATTGACATGAAGCGGCCGCGCTGCTGCGGATGTATGAGTACATACGTGCAGCGGTATCTACCGTAGGGTCATTGGCAGAATGCCTACGGCGAACTCGTCCGAAATTGCTTTCCGAGAACGAAGGCTTTTCTTCTCAGGTTTTTGACCGTTTCACTTCGTTTTTTCGCCATTTTCCTACTATATAGCATCCTGCTAGCATTTATGACCAAGTAAATTATCGAGCTATATGCCTTCAGGCAGCGTTCAGACTTCGCGACGGCAGCGCTTCGGTCGCGCGTTCGACGCGATCGATGCGCATGCTTTTGACTGCATCGATCGCGTCGAACGCGCGACCGAAGCGCTGCCGTCGCGAAGTCTGAACGCTGACTTAAAGCGTGAACTGCCACCCGTGGTCCTCTAGGTCCTCTCCCCAACTTATGAATACGTGGAAGAATTGCGAGCTCAAGCTTTATGGTTGCCACTTTTGATTCGTTGAGTTGAGGATTACCGCTGAGTAGTCCAGAACAGAATCACCGCCTTGTATCCAGTGGATTTCCATTTTCGTGCTCAAACGAGGAGCGATACACCGTGATATGGAACTCATTTGGCTCTCGAAGCTTTGGGCGTATACTTTGTGTTACCGTTTTGAGGGTTTTGAGCGAGTGAGAGAGTACAAGTACAGATTCTGCGTTTTGACCGTACACTAGGTCACCTGCACATTTACAATTCGTACTAACTGGCCAATATGACCAGATGAGGAAGGAAAACCGATGGTTCAAGTGATTCCGTGCATACGAACTGTGACGGCTGTGACTTGCAGATTGTTGTCAAGGGTAAACGAAGCTCGTGCTATAGTCCTGCTCTACAAAGGTTTATAAGCCTCGGCATGAGGCATCCGCTGTGATCGATAAGAACCAGTAAGAAGCCGCACAAAATGAGCTCCTTCTCCTCCACACACGCTCACAGATTTATCAGCGATTATGTATCAGTTCCCCATCTGACTTTGAACTGTTTTCCTTACCGCCGAAAGCGTAGAGGAGAAAAATCCTACAAGGTTAAGTAGAACTAGTTAGAATTCGCAAATCAGTTCTGAGCCTATAATTGGAACTTACCTTGTTACTGTAGCCGTTTTTGGCTGAGACTGCGACCTGGGAAGTGGATCCCGAGTAGCCGTGCTTACTCCAGATTTGCTGATTCCATTAGTAGAAGAAGTCATGTCGTTAGTAGACCAAGTGGTACTCGTCACGTTCCTTGACGAGGGCTCCTGGATGACAAAGCGAGATATAAAGCCCGAAGGTTCGTCATAATTGCTACAGCTCAACAAATGTAGTTCAGCTAGATGGAAGGAGTCAAAAGCAGTTGTTAGGAGGCAGCCCGGCGGAAACCATCCAATTGCCTAGGACTGGGCCCCGTGTACATCACCGTTGGAAGTGTCTCATCGAGAATCGTACTTAGCTTCTGAGAAGGGAACTCTTTGGGATTTGGAATTAAGGGATTTTGGCGTTGAGAAGAATTTTTTGATGCAGATTTTTCCCGTTTTATGCGCGCGCCACATAACTCCCTGTCCACCGGTCGATAGAAAAATTTGGGCTATGCTGGCGGTCGCGGCGATAGGTTGTGAAAGAGGACCCTCCTTAGTGAAGGCTCTACTGACCAATAAAATTTCATACATCCCGCCTGGGCCACACCCACCGCGCGCTAGGAATTATGGTCCAATGGTCCAACAACAGCATGCTACCGAAGGTGGCCTAGCCAGCACGCATTCCAGTCTAGCACCGAATACGCTTGGTATTGGTCACCATCATAACTGCACCCCCTCACCTCTTCTTTCGTTGTAGCAGGAAATAAGAGAGTGGTTCTGAAACTTACACTGGCGGCGATGGGGTTTCTGAGTCTCGGTTCCATTATCCGAAGCCCCGGATGTCGACGATGGCAGGGTCGACCGCTGCTCCATAGTTTTCGGACCAGACAGCCGATGGGTAACACTTGTGGAATCCTCTGAGTGAGTTGTGGTGGTCTTGATCGTCTCTTCTGAGCTTATTTTCCTCATTAGATGGGGCGGTGGTTCTGGGAACTCTCCAGAACTTGTCGTTCTACCAGAAATGCTTTTGACGTCACTGATTCTGGTCTGTAGTACAGCAGGCCCTTGCGTTATTGAGACCTCGGTCTTGACAGGGATCTGTCGAATTACAGTATCTTTAGAGCTTTGTGACGATGTAGATGATCCTCCCAGGCTAACCGATACGGCCGGTGAAATGTTTTCGCTTCGAATTGAAGGCGAAAACGGAATTTCGAATTTCAGTCGAGAGAACAGTGCTTCTAAATTTGCAACGCTCATACGCCAGTAATTACCGCGAAGGTGCTCTTGTAGCGGGTCCTCTGAAATTTTACGGATTTTCAAAACAATGAAAAACAGAGAACAAAGCGAAACATTGCGAACCGACCTTCAGGGCGCTGGAATATGCAAGAAGTATTTACTTTGTAAACATCAGCTCTGTCGAGATTGAACCTTCATGAAATGAGGTGTGATTAGATGAGGTTGAATAAGTAGAAATAATTATAACAGGCTGTAAAGAAGGGGTGCATCATTTTGCTCGGGATTTCCCAATTCTGGAAGTTGTCGAGGTGGGCATGGACACTCTTCTCCCTGAGAAGGAGTAGGCGTGGCATTCCAGCACGGCTGGAATATCGTGGGATATTTCAGTTTGAGTCAACCGTCATCTCGTTCTATATTGGACAGACCCATGACCAAAATTGTGTCAGAATAAAAATATTTCTCTAGAAGCAGAGCCACCGCCATGTTTAGCTGAAGCACGCAGCCACACCCACCACATCTCGGAAATTTCGACCCATTTCCTACTTTTTCCGCTTTCTAGGCTTACTTGGAACTAAATTATGAAATTTGGACCTAAGTCCCGTTCAAAGTAGGTGTGACTCTCTCATCTCCTCTCCCTAATCATTCCCTATCGTTCCAGCATTTCTCAGTTTCTGGGCTCTTTTGGAACCGAATTACGAATTTGAAATTTCCGTACCAAGCGCCGCCGCACGTAGGCATGCCCACGCCAATATGGATTGTCTCCCTCACACTTCGTCCGAGAAACTGACTGTCTCATCGCTCCCACCATTTTCGACATCGGGGCTTTTTAGGAAACGAATTTTCGAAATGAAAGGCTACTGGCTCTGGGCAGGCCTCGCCCATAGTGAGCGCGGCCTAGCTCAGTCCATGCGTATTCCGTACATCTTGGCCCATGCCCTACGCATAACCCTTTCACCCAGCCGTCACCACTGACTTTCAGGTGACTACGTGGGGGGCGAATTTCCGGACAGACAGACAGACAGACATAAGACCGGCAGACAGACAGACGAACAAACAGAGAGCTTCATGTAATTTTTTCTTCTCTTTAATCTATTCTGTATGTGTGGGGTAGTAAATTATTTTCCACTTGAATGTTTCTTTCCTCGAAGTAAACTAGACATGAAATAAAAATGGGATACAAATGAAAACAAGACTTTCACAACCGCAAAACATTCGTTATTCCATAACAAGCAATTGTTGTCAAAGGCACACTTTACGATTGCAAATCGTAAACGTTGGGTTGAAAAACAAAAATGTATTTGCTGTTTGACTTGACCCGAAGAAAGAGCAGAGGAAACCGTCGAAAAACCCAGAATTACCTTCAGCGACAGTTCATTCTAAACGAAGAGAGAAAATTCTCCGAAATTTCTGGCGAAAGATTGAAGAAGAGGTCTGAGAAAGCTCTCAAACGAGTGAGATCACGGATATACCCGGGGCGGGGCGCCTGTACTGGAGTGGCACCTTTTGAGCATCTTTGCATCTTAGCGCTGTTAGCGTGCAGCTTTGAGACGCGATACCCGGGGTTGTCTATTGCGGCAAGCTGTTCCCTGCCGTTAAAAGGGTTATGAAACTCAGAAGTCTCGCTAAATGGGGCTCTTAAACTCTTAAAAAAGAGCAGATAATCACCTGCGAAGCATGCCTACAGGTAACGATGAGCCATCACTGCCAGTCATGAATACAATCTGCTTCTGTCTCATATGTGGAGGAACCAGTTGAAGAGCCTGAAAAAAAACTGAGCAAAATGAGTTATAGGCGCATTCCACGGTAATCGGACGGGAGGAGATCTACAACAATGGCATTGCAGCACTTTTTATTGGCGTGCCCATCGTATACAGACTTGTTCACTGTGGATGATGGGGCCGTTAGGGAGGATCAGCTGAGATTGGCGCAATGCCAACCCGTTTCTCCCTTTTTATTCTATAGAAAAGCGACGAGAATTTCTCATGTCGTTGATATCGGTCGTTTTTTACTGATTGTTGTCACTTACCCATATCAACAATCGGTGGAAAGAGGTTGGCGGCGCGCCATCCCAGCTGGCTGACACGCCCCATTATTCGCAGCGAACGAGACTGAGAAGGAGGGAAACACCAGCGAGTTTAGTATCGTTCAAAAGGATTTCGAGTAGTGTATCTTTTAAGTAACAAATATAATTATGAAAAACAAGTACAAATAGCAAAAATTACCTTCTGTAGTCCTTCTTCTTCATCAGAGGTTAGTCGAGTGAAAGCTGGGAAAACAACACCAATGGCATCAATTTTCATGCGATCGTTGTCTCCTAGCCATTTAGCTAGTATTCGACGGTTCTCCTCACCGCTGAACTATCATTTTTAATTTTTTCATGGAATTTTCCAGCAAAAATAATGAGACTCTCACTGAGGTCCACTCGTGGAGGGTGTGTCAATCACGATCGGTCTGAAGTCCATTTTAGCATCGTTGAACACGTAAGTGATAATCTGCTTCTCTGGTGTCGTCGAGTCAAACTTCTATAGATTATAAAGTTGTAAGAAGTAATCATGTAATAGAATAAATATAAATAAAAGCCTCTTAAAGCCAGATCAGCCTTTTCAACATTTACATTTAAATAGCTATGCAAAAAATTTCGAATTTTTTAGGGACCAAAGGATTTCCAACGCGATAGGCCAGCGCGCTTGTACCAAAAGTATAATATTATAGTCAAGTTAAGTTGCTCGTAAATTAATCAACTAGATTTAATATAAGAAAATACTTGGACATAAGGTTCATTACCTCGTTTGCAATATGATAACGTGTAGGTTCATCCAGCTTAGCTCCATAGAAATAATTGCAGAGAAAATCTATCAATGACGTCTTTCTGGCCGTCTGTGGACCGATCAAAAGAATCACTCTTGACGCTTTGTGTGTTGTCGTCTTAATCACAAAGATGAAACTGGTAACGATCAGAATGGCACGCACAGTTGAGTCTTTGCTCGGCTGAGGATGTAAATTCCTCTAGAATCAACATTAATTGAAATTAATCAAAATTAGGTGTCATTCACTTGCGCAGGCAATGCTGTTTCTTTTTTATTTGAGTTTTTTCCTAGTAATAAGATACTCTCATATAAGTGGCTAGGCATGAAAGATCTAAGTATGTTTTCTCACGAAAAAGAGAACTGCAGATTGTAGTTGGCAAGACACAAGATACATCCGCGATAATCGGATGGGCGGGGACTCACCACTATTGTGCCTTTCTCACTGGGGCGCCTTTCCCTTCTAATAGGCCGCAAAGTGAGAGTAGGTGTCAAAGATGAAAACTACACAACGGAACGGTGACCGTTCCTTCGGCTCCATCCAATTCCGAATGATGATTCGTAAAATGCTACGGGAACCTGAGACGGCCGCAGCTTTGTTTCAATATCCCAGCCTCCAAATTTCTAAATGATGGAGGCCAGATTGGTCTAATATGGTCGCAAGGGGCCAAGAATGGTCCCCACAGACTTCTTCTCGTTATTCACACCAATTTTTTTCGTTGATAACGGTGCAACTAGTCGGGGTGGTGTCAAGAGGGGCGGATGAGCTCGCCCAGGGCTGCCTTGATCTATCAATGATGCTCGGTTAGTGGTCCATTTAGGACGAAAGCAATGAGTTGTTGAAACAGGGCTTACTATCGTTGGGAATGCCCCAACAGAGGGTCGATTTTGGTCGCTCGGAGGGGTGTCGTTTTTGGTCTGAAGAAAATTTTTTTCGATAGTTGATTTTCTTGTTTACGCTATAAATGGGGAATGAATTTGATTTCGCGGTTTTTTATTCTGTTTTACATGTGCTATATACCCCCTCGACAGCAGACAGCAAAATTTCAAAATTTTGGGGAAATATTAGAAAATTTCTGTTGAATGTCGGAAAAAACTGGTAAAAAGATGTGTAAAATCTGAGGAAGGGTGGGTAAGATGGGAGAGGTGTCGTATTTTCTTCGCGACTTTTCCAGTTTCAGGTGCACTTCAGGTGCACATACATATACCCCCTCCCCCTGCTTGAGCTCGATGAGGAATGAACGCAGGGGAGGGGGGAGGTCGTATCAAATCACCTTTTAGGGGGATCGTACGGACGCTACTAAAGTCCCCAACTTCCAATGTGCCCTGAGAGGAAACACAAAAGGTTGACTCATTCCATCGATCTTGACACCGCCGAATGACTGCGACGATATTGACTATATTTGTTCTATTCCTTTAGAATGTAAACAAAAAGGCTTAATATGAATTCTACATAAAGGATGCGGATGAAATTTCAGAAGGGAGAAATAGGGCCTTATAAATTTTTGAATGCCATACCTTCTTCGCTGCTCACATAAATTGTCCGTGATAAAGCTTGCTCTTCAAAAGCTTCTCCAACAAATTTGTTGATTCGGGGTAGTTGATGTGACAGGGGTGGAGTCCCCGACATGGTATTCTGAGACAAAGAAAAAAAAGCATTGAAAATGAAAATTCATTCTGAGGAAAAAAACGAATAAATTGAGAAGATCGAGGGGGTGAAAGCAAAGAAGAGGTGGCTCAGTTTCCTTTCTGTACGTGCACACTTTGTTAGAAGGAAACCGTACAAAGGCATAATCCTACTTCCGTGGTCATCAGAAAGGAAAGGAAGGGAGAATTCGATGAATTTCATGAGAAACGATGATGAAAATGACCAAGAATGGAAAGGAAGTGCAAATCGTTTAACAACGTAATCATGAAAACGTGTCATCTGTTAAATTATGTGTGTCATGTTCTAAGTATACAAAACATAAGCAGTTGAAACGAAATGAAATGTAACAATAATATTCAGGGAAATAAACGAAAGAGTTATCCTTGACTACCGACACCTTTAATCTATTAGGTCATCCCATTCGAAAGTGCGGAGACATATAGAGGAATGGCAGAAAAGCAAGGGGGGATAGAGCAGCGGGCTACTATACTATTAGGTTGTCCGGAAAGTTCTGCACGTTTCGAGTGTTTCACTTTAAACGATCATAACTTTCTTAACACTCATCGGATTTAATCCAAATAAGCACCAGAATCAGCACACTTTTGCCAATGTGACAGCAGTCGAGAAATCCCATCAAAGAAAAAAAAACTCTGGGGGCATTTTTTTCTGGCTTGGTCCTGTTTGACGACAGTATTTTTCCATTACAAGGGCAGTTCTGAAAATTGTTTAGAAGAGAGGTTGATAGTCAATTGGCGCGATAAAGGTCTGAAGAATATGGCGGTTGAGGTAGAACTTCAACCCCCAATTCGTTCAATTTATGGATAGTGATTTGTGAAACGTGTGGGCGGGCGTTGTCATGCAAAGGAATCGGACCCTTTCTTTTGATAAGTGTTGGCTGCATCTGACAAAATTTTCGGTACAATTCGTCGATTTCTTCACAGTAGGGTTCTGCTGTGATGGTTTGGCCTGGTGATAAAAAGTTATAGTGGATCACACCAGTCGATGAC